TTCTTGACTCTGATTCCACACCAATATTAAATGTTTAATGCAGGTCTTATTTTATAGACTATTCAAACACTTCGTTCTCCTTGGTAGGGCTGTGAATTGATTCTAAAAATCAGAATTGATGATCAAAAATATGATAATAAACAATCTTGAATCTCAGAAATTTCCTTCGACCATCAAAAAAACTATGGGGTTACACCTTTTTGCGAAGCGCAATAATTGTTTGTAGAAACAACTAGAATTATTATACAAAATGAAAATCGATTCTAATTTGATTAACGATTAAAACGATTATTATAGAATCGATTTACTCTCTACTTCTTGGTGTCAATTCTATTTTGGCAATCATTATGTGTTCTACTAGCATAGTCTATCTTTGTGAATTTTATGTACTATTTGAAAGGCGAGTTAGCAGTGCTACAAGAAAGTGTAGTTCTCGTGACCTTCCTGATATAAGAAAAATACCTTAAAATTAGGGTTGGCGTTTGTATTAGGATGAGATATTAATGTTTTTGGTCGTATTATATTCACCCGATCTCTAAATATAATTGGTCTATGATCATGCTGAGATCACAGAACTGACATTTTTATTCTGCATCTATTAAAATGTCTCATTCTTTTTTAATTGATATTCTGTTAATATGACTTATCACTACAGATTTTATGAGCTATTCAAACATCTTTTCCTTGTCTTTTTTATGATGATTTATTTTTGACATAGTTGTTAAGTTTGGAATTTTAAACCAGCCTCCTTATATCTGCTACAACTATTACACCATTACCTATAATTCTACTATTACAGCAAAAAAAATTATAGCTTGAAATTAAAACTTATTAAACTTAAAATCAATTACCCCTACTTTTCATAAATCTATATTGTTTGTGAAACTGTTTTTATTTACCGTTACACCCTAATTCTGCGGAAGACAATAAAAATTTTAATTTGTTTTTAAAAGTATGAACTTTGTTTATAATAATGGCAAAAGGAAGATCTCGGCAAAATATAGGATCTTGTGCAATTTGTGGTTGTAAAAACACTTCTGAAACATTTCGAAAACTTACTGAAAAGTCACTTAAAATAACCAATAATAGCCCTAATAGTGATTTAATTATAGAAGCTCTTAAAGTTGGTGATGAGCTTTGTCAAAAACATTATAATAATTTAGTAGCTTTTGAACGAGGTCAAGTTAACAGAAAAAGGAAAACCCACAATGATTTATCATATAATCTAAATACAGCTCAACAGTCTAAAATTCATAAACAACAATTATTGTTACATCAAGTTGGAGAAATTGGTAAATTAGATCCAATTACAAAATTGAAGCCTTATAATTCATTAAGTAAAACTGCGCAAAGAAATTGTAGCAAGAAAGGTGCATTACTGTTTCAAGATTCAGTTAATGAAACAATTCCTATTGCATTTCATTCTAATGATAAATTAATTTTACATGAGACGGCTTTTTCAATTAACAATAACCACTATCGATTCGTTTATAAAAACAATGAAAATCAGCAATTTAATAATAGTGATAAATCTTTCCTTCAAATGATTGTTTGTGCTACAGACTGGGAGAGAATATCACGGGCAGCATATAGAGAATTGGCAGCCATTTGTCAAAATCTTCCGCGAGAATGTGCTGTAGCAAATATGCGACAACAAATTAACAAAGAAATGAATAAATGTATATCAACAACTATTTTTAATCTTGAATATACAGAAAACAACATTGTTGATAGTATTACAAAATCAATTAGAGCTGGCATATATAGGTCAATTAAAAGTATTTTAAAATACATGATTCCTATTTGGCTTAAAAAAAAACATTTTATCATTGGATTCTCCTGTATTACATATAAGAATTTCAGGCGATGGCCGAAACGTAGGATGCAAAGTCAATCATGTCATGTTTACTTTTGCTATCCTAAATGATTTAGAAAATATAAATAAACCCGGCAGTCACCATTTATTAATACTTTATTCAGGAGTAGAAAAATATGACACTTTACAAATAGCACTTGAGTTTTTGGCAAAAGATCTCGAAGATATCAAAGATGGTTTTGACAATGATAATAAAAATCAATGGGCTATTAAGTTGTATTTTTCTTCTGATTGGAAAATGCTTGCATTGTGTTTAGGACATAAAGCAGCAAATTCACATGATTTTTGTCTTTGGTGCAAGTGTAAAAAAGAGCTAAATGGAGATTTCAACTATGATTGGAACATAAGCAAATCGATAGAAGAAATTAGTCAAAATTTTACTAAAAAAATGGTCATATTAGAAAGCCACTTCTTTCAATGATTGCTATTGATCATTGGATAGTTGACAAACTTCATTTATTATTAAGAATTACTGATAGATTATGGAATCTAGTTATAGCAGAACTTAAAGCAACTAAGAAGTTTGATTTAAAACGAAATATTATAATAGATGAGATGAAACGAATCAAAATTAAATTTGAATTTTAGCAAGAAGCGGGATCAACTAATTGGCAATATACTTCATTAATGGGAAATGATAAGCTCAAGATGTTACGAGAGTTTGATCTTTCACAAATTTTTTCAAATGACCGTGCAATTATAATTCATCAATTGTGGGATAATTTTATTAAACTATACGAATCTTTAAAAAATCCCCAAACAACGGGTACTCAGTTCAAACAAAAAGCTATCGAATGGTTAAAATTATTTTTAACCAAGTCTACAGGAAGCTTTAATTCTCTAACGCTAATTAAAGGATTATACCGCCTGAATGATATTACACTATACATCCATGCTATGGTATCTCATATAGGTGAATTTATAGATCTACATCGAGAATTTGGAATAGCTGGATTTTCCTGTTCAGCTGTGGAAAAAAAAATTATCAGCATGTTTGTTACTTTTTTCAAAAGACAATGAAGGATAGAGGGCAAGAAACAATTAGAAAATCTGCAATTTTAGAGATTGTAGATTATGAGAATCGAAATCTTTACTTTTATAGTAATAATATTTCTGGGTATTTTGAAAAAGAGACAAAACTAGTTATTAGATCTACTGTAGTTACATGAATGTTTAATAGTAAGAATTTTACTATTTGAATAAAATTAATCAGTATCTTTTATTGCTATAAATGAAAGATTCGATACTATAAAAAAAAAAAACTCGAGGTAAGTTCACTAATGATAAAGGTTCTTATTTATTTATAATCTGTATAAGCTTTATTCATCTAATATTTATGTCATTTTATAACCTGAAATAGT